GCAGGAGCGGGCCAGCCATTTAAATTTAAATAAAGCCGCGATTATTTTAATCGCGGCTTCATTTCCCTCTACCGATCTGGCTAATCTACATGCCTCCGTCGAAGGAGGCATGTAGTCTAGACACACCCCTTGAGTTTTCCTGTTCCCCTCCCCCTGCCTTCTCAGGCTGGTTTTATTTTCTTTGTTTCCTTCCATCCGTTTTCTCTGAAGGGTCTGTTATTCCAACAGAAGGCTAAAGAACCTGAGTCAAAATGGTCTGCCTGCCACTCTTTGCATCTCCAGCATGTGCACTGATTTTTCTAAAAGCATTGTGCAGCAGTGTCCAATCCTGTTTAACACCTTATGCTGAAATAAACGCACCTATAAAGAAGGTTCTCCAGGAATCAACAGACATTGACAAGTTCCTTTCCTTTTTTGTTTTCTTTGCAAAGCATGTCTTAAGCAAAAATAAAAAGGCAACATTTAATAAAGGCAAAGAACTTTACAATCAGGGGGAGAAGGTAAGAGGTCTTTTAATGTCTTTTACAAGCAGGTACAATACTGCAATAACAGTTGTTGCAAATACTTAAATTGGCTAATGAATTTTATTTTCTACAATGCTTTTCCTATTCCTTTCCACATGTTGGTGCAATCTCAAGCTTTCCTGACACCAACAGTAGCAGAACGCAAATGTCAAAGTCTTGTATGTGAGGAATCACAAAAACCAAATTATATACAAGATTGCACACCAGAACTGCTCATGCTCTTATCTAATCATGGAACAGGAGAAGCACTGGATGACCTATCTGACCAGCTACAACTATTCAATAAAGTATCAATACCATACAGGACAAGCAGGGGTTAACCAGTCACTTTGGGCCAAGAGGACTTGCCCTCTCATCTTTGCTGCACATGCTCTAGTTGAAGGGAGCAGATAAAAGGGAACGGCTCACTCCAGTCAAGGCTGGCAGTGAAGGAAGATGGATATACATTGCAGACTCCTGCTGAGGCACTGCCAGCCCTTCAAACTTATGGAAACAAGCCTCCCTGACTGTATCATAGGGGAGCCCTCATCTGTGGAAGCTGATGGAGGCACAAAGCCTCTGCCCTGTTTATGATTGTTTGCCTCAGCCAAGAGGCCCAGTACTATCAATGACTGGTCTGTTCATCCCTTCCTGAGCACCAGAGTCCCTGATTCTGTCTGGCCCAGCTCTGACTCATGATGATTGTGTGGTGGGGTATCTCAACCCCACACTGGGCCAGCAGGGGTACCCCCTCCAATGTATGCATAGAACTCTACAACAAATAGTGACTTTTAAACATGTGCTGAAAACTCTTCATAGCCTAGATTTAAAAGATTGTGAAATATTAAACAGTGTGGAAAAAGAAATATTAGAGGATATCGTGATCTGTTGGTGGATGATCCGCAAACAGAAAAAGTGGTTAAATTGACTGGATTCATGATTCAGTGCAAATTACTCATTGAGTATTGTTCTTTTCGGTGCTCTGCAGAATAAAATCTGTTATATTTTCTCTGGGAGGATGTCATTTCCTTTGTGTGTGTGTGTGTGTGTGTGTGTGTGTGTGTGTGTGTGTGTGTGTGTGTGGGGAAAAACAATGACATTAAAGCACTTTTTTACTAATTAAAAAGGAATGCATCCCCACAAGTCAGGTGGTCAGATTTCCCTCCTCCCCAAGCTGCTGGAACCTGGTTTCCATTATTGCTTTTATTATAAATCAACAGCTTTTGCAGCTCCTCTCTCACACTCGGCCTCTACAGTATTGCAGTGAGTCATTCAGATCACCAGTTTCTCTATACTTAAAGTACTTGTTTCATCTTCTTCATTTGAACCAAAATATCCAGGCAGGTCAATCATCCATTGCTCTGATTCTGTTAAGCCAAAAGAATTATTATCATAAAAAGCAAATTCAGAGTCTATGGGGAAGCTCTGGCATTTGTCCTTCCTGTACTGGACAGGGCTTGGAGCATTGCCTCGCTGGTAATTATCTTTCAGAGTTGAGATGGGTTCTTTTTTCAAAGCTCCTCGATGGTTTGGCGAAGGGCCCTTCCTATTTTTGTTTGGCTCTGGTTTGTCAGCTCTTTCTGCTTGGCCTGCAGGCTGTCGGCCACTGATTAGATCCAGCCTCCTCATTGGAGGGCCCCCTTTGTGGCGGTATTTTGTGCCATAACTCAGAGGTTCACCAATTGAGACAGTGCAATTTTCAGAACTTGGATCAGCATCTTTAGATGTCGGACGGGACTTGTCTTCCAGTGCCTGACCCCACGTTCTGGTTCTGGCACTGTAAAGAGGAATCTGTCGTGAGGTAAGAGTTGACATGCTCCGTTCCCTATAGGGCCTCACCTTTTTAGTTTCATGGAAACTGGCTGTTCTTCTGAAATGTGGGTTTCTGTGGTAGCCTCTCTCTAACGGCTCTCCTTTGTTATCTTGGTATTTCAGGTGAGTTCGGCTCAGGAGGGTCTGACTGGGGCTCATTACAGGGTTGGCCTGTAACAGTGCAGAGTCCACCCTAGAATTAGATTTTTCCCTAGGGACTTTGTGATGACTGCCGGGCTCATCCAGAAATGGAGATTTGATCCTGAATTTGTGTGCAGCAACAGCAGCCTCCTCTTGGTTTTCTGTGCCTGGGGGAAGCACAGCTGTGTCAGTCAGAGGCGTCTGAGATACGTGATAAACCTTTGTGGTTTCAGTCAGGCCTTTCTTCTTCATCTCTTTCAGCTGCTGCTGTGCAAGGCGGTAGCTGAAAATTGGTGGGATTATTTTTTGAGCATTTGTCTGAAAACTGTCATTGACTGAGGTGTCCTCTTCTTGTGCACACTGAAGGCTCCTCCTGTAGGTCAAAGGTATGTTAACAGGCTCACCGGCATGCGCTCGAGGTGCCTCACTGCCCTCGGAAAAGCTCTCCCGCTGCTTGCCAGCCTGACAGATATTCTCTTCATCCGAGTTCTTGCGGTAGCTGGGTGAATGGACAGAGTTACGGCGCATAGAGGCCCTGCACTTCTGAGGTCTGCAGAGCTTCCTCCACAGGGTGATGAGAACAGTGCCAAGGATTATAAACAAGCACAAGGAGATGCCAGTTATGGTGACTATATTATTAGCTTTCTCGTCCTCTTGGTGCTGTACTGAAGGAGGGGTTGTAGACGTGAGAGCTGTGGAAAAAAAAAAAAAAAAAAAAAAAAAAAAAAAAAAAAAAAAAAAAAAAAAAAAAAAGCACACACATTGTTATCCACGTTGAATTTTCAGTGGGCATTTAGAGTTTTAGATAAATTTTTTTACAATTAAGAAAAAGATAATCAAAGAATACAATTCATTAAACTGTCTGTGTGCCAGAATGTCTCTAGCTCACATCTGTCTTCTTCAGATAAAAGTGGATAAAACTTAGTTTGTGGCACAAATCTACCTACTTTATATTGAGGGCCCTGAAGACCCATCTACCTTTAAACCTCATTGACTATCTATCTTTGGTAGTCTCATCTCTTTTTATGATGCCAGAAGAATATTTTATACACCTGGCCCAAATGGCTTTTGTTAAGTTTGAGTTTCACAAATTCCATGGGAAACTTTTTGCAGGAGTTGAGAGGGTTTCTCTGAAAGGTGCAATTTGTATTGGATTCTGTTGCCTGAGCGACTGCCCAAGACTGAGCCAGATTCATACCTATTGTGAGTCCACTGGCCCAGCGATCTGTCTCCTAGCCCATCCCCAATACTCTTTCCATGCTGGTAGATGTAATTCCAACATGGAATCCACCTCCATGGTATGAGTGTCCCCTGACTGGCCATGCTGTCTGCATCTCTCTATCCTCAACAAACATACATAAGGACAGGACTGCATGGTTTTCAGTGAGGGAGCTGGTGGAATGTATGCCAGGGATCCAGGCCACAATGTAGTCAAAGTGAGTTTTCCAATTACCTGAATGTGGCCAAGATTTCATCCCCCGTGAATAAGAAATCACAAACACTGGTTTAAATGCTTTGGTTTCTCAAATCTATTACACCACACATTTTGTTTTCACCAGAGAAGCAGACACATGTCAAGGAGAAAAGCTTTAAAGAAAGCAGGATCACATACGGGAGCATTGGTCTAGAGAGCACAGAGAAGTCTCTTTCGGTATTCCAACACAGCCTGATTTTGCTGGTAGTGATGTGAAACATTCCCTGTGTCGTTCACGGACACCCTCCCCACAGGTCATGCTGCAAGGACTCCAGGCCTGCCACTGGCTCCATGCTTCTGTGGATACATGAGATCGTAGCAGTGAGGCCTGCAGTCAGACTCATTTCATCTCACAGCAAAGCTTTCAACTCTCCCACCTTTATATAAAAACAAATCAACCCCAACACTGCAATTATAACACTGCAAAGTAAATAGCAACTGGGCCTTGATCTGCTCACACTGGAATCTGGGCCAAAGCTCCCATTACCTCCCGTAGCAGCAGGATTGCACTCCTATGCCACGTCTACACCACCATTTATGTCAGCAAAATGTATGGTGCCCAGGGGAGTGAAAAAGCACCCCCCGGTCTCCTCCCCCCAGCAACGTAAGTTTCACCAACATAAATGGTAATAGGCATAGGGATATGTAGATAGGAGAGCTTCTCTCACTGACAGCTAATGCAGTTCATGGTGGGGGGAAGGGCGGGCTTAATTAGGTCCACAAGAATGCTCTCTTCTGTCAGCATAGAGATCTTACAGAGAGATCACACACAAGAGATCTTACAGAGGCGTGCTATCACTGCATCACTGTGATTCTTTAGAGTAGATATAGCCAAAGCCAATTAGTAAGGTGACCAGAGTATGCCTTGTACAACAGAACACAGAAATGAATCCATGAGTCTTTCTAATGGCTTAGCTGTTTAGGCATTCATAGGGTCCAATTCCTACTTTGTATGTGCTGATTTTATATTGGTATCACTATTGAATTTAGTGGAGTTACCCCGGGTTAATACTACAGGCAGTACCCGAGTTACGCGGATCCGCAGTTACGAACGGGGATTTCTCGCCCCAGAGGACTGGAGCGGCGGGACGCCTGGTCCCGCCGCCCACGTCCTCTGGGGCGAGAAAAGCTGCTCTGCATCTCCCTGGTTTGCTGGGGGGGAAAAGAGAGGAGCCAGATCAACGCCGCGGTCCCGCCCGGGTCCTCCGCGGCTTTGCTCAGTGTCTCCCTGGTCTGCTGGGGGGGGACGCAGCTAGTGCACCCCCCCCCCCCCCCCCCACCCGGGGGAGGGGGGGCAAA